CCCCACTGATGCACCGCCGTCGCAATGGTAATCCAACCCAGTACGAGAGGAACCGTTGGTTCGCACAATTGGCAATTGTGCTTGGCTGAAAAGCCAGCGGTGCAAAGCTACCGTGCATGGGATTATGACTGAACGCCTCTAAGTTAGAATCTGTGCTTGCAGCGACGGCGTATGCCTCCTCGGATGACACAAGGCTGTCGATAGGGCCAGCCGGTCTGGCCCCGAAAGCATAAGTTCGGAGTTGTCCCTCCTGCGGCGGAGCACCGGCGCCCTGGGGGTCTCTTCATCGCAATTTCTTTCGCTCGGGGAGTCAAACCATTTGCAGACGACGTAGATAGGGAACGGGGTGTTGTAAGCAGTAGAGTGGCCTTGTCGTCACGATCTGTTGAGATTCGGCCCTTTGTTCCAAAGGTTTCCCCCTCCTTCTGGCCCCCCACCCCTCCTCAAATGTTTTAACGACCGTCATCCGCGTCTGAAGAGAGCCGTCGCCCTTGTATAGGGGCCGATGAGCTGCTTTAATTTTTTTTATTTTTATTTTTTTTTTTCCTTCTTTTTTTTTTCAGTTTTGCTGCTTCCGTCTGAAGCCCCTTTTGCCCGATGTGGTACTCGACTTTCGGCTCAAAGGAGAACTGTGCCCGAGCCCATGTTGGGGTGGGTGCCACGTTGTAAGCTTCTGGCCACTGCGGCGTCCTACTTGTGGGACACGCATCTGACCGGGTTCCAGCGGGGGGGGGGTCGAGCAAAGGAATCACTAGTGATCGTATCCTCCCTGCTGAACGAACGCATGCATGCTGGTTACCTAGGTCTGTGGTGGAATCGTAGTTATATTGCACATCCTCGGGCCTCTTGCCTTTTGTGCTGGCTGATGCTGGGGAGTATGACTGAAGCTTGGGGTGGAGTACTTTAGCAAAAGACCAAGGTAGAGGAGGGCAAAAAGAAAAAAAAAAGAAAAAAAAAAACGAGGGAGAGTGCAGTAACCCTGTTCAGCAGCAGTCCGGGGCTCAGAACTTCGACCCCGGAAAACACAGACTCGGTTGTCTGTGCTGGGCCGTGTGACCGAGACACGCCCAGCCTTGATTCTGTCGAGGTGGCTGTGTGACCGAACGCGGCACAAAGGAAATTCATGAGTCCAGGGCGGGAGGAATACAGTTTCAGGCCAATCTGGGCCCTCATTCACATCGAGATCTGGACGGTGCAGGCCTACAGCACCCTGGGTCCAGACCCCGCACCAAGATTACTTAAGAGTTGACTTCCTGGCTGGACGGGCATTCAGTCTTGCGTGCATGCCGACTTCACGCATTGACTTTCACGCAGCTGCGACGCTGCGATATTGGCTGGACGCTGGCTCTATGCTGGCATAGGAAGGAGGACGGCGAGGCGCTGCTTTCTGGCATGGTGGCTGGCTGGCGATTGTCTTCTTGGCATGCTGACGTGGCAGCTGCCACGCGCCGTTGCTGACGTGGCTGCTGCCACCTGTACATGATGACGTGGCGGGCTGCGTGATTGATGAGACTGTTCTGATTCTTCGTCACTTCGGGAGGAGATCAAGACTGTGGTTATCGCGGATACGTACCTGGTTTATGACGATATTCTCCAGTTCGCTGATGTAGACAGATTGACGTGCCATGTGGCACATTGAGAGAGGACTTCAGATTTGTGTTCGGACTATTGATTGCTGAGGTGGCGAGGAGGAGGAGAGMCCCGAAKCAGGASAGGGCATYGTGTTCTTCTCTCTCCTYTGTCTATTCTCCCCTCTTTCTCCTTCGTCTGTGCATGATTTCCCACCTCATTCTATCTACACACATTTGCGATTGTTTGTCATTCATCAGCAGATTTATAATCATATGGACTGGTAATGTTGACGAGTATCATCACGTCTGGGCTCATTGCACTTTGGTATCGGAGCTATACTTACGATGATGTGACAGACTACGACAACGACGAGTGATGACATCTACGACGAAGAGGCTGACGTGGACAAGACTGGAAAAGCACACGTCAGATGCTGACGTGGCATTGACGTGGCATTGGTAGAAAGTGCTGTATTGCTGACGTGGCGGGTGGATGATAGAAGACTGATGATGTGGCATTGTTGACTCACCATTAGTCATTGTGGTGAGAGAACAGGCTGACGTGGCAATGTCACACTCCATTACTGGCTTACGTGGCATTATATGGCGCGCTGGTACTGCTCCTGACGTGTATTCCCTCGATATTGTTGACTGGACAATGGTGCTGACGTGGCAGGCAGACGTGCTGCTATGTTGGCACACCAGGGGATACACGTGACAGGTTGGAACTTCGACTTCGTGGCAGGCTGGGACTTTGACTTCAACATACATTGCTGACGTGCACCCGCTGACGATCTTGATTGGACCTGCTGACCTTGCATACTCTTCGAGTTGCTGAGTTGGCAGGCCAGGGGTGACACGTGGCAGGCACGACCGTGCCTTAGTGAGAATTGCATTCTGATGACTGAAGCGGGACGGCTAGAAGACTGACGTGGCTGTGGTTCCAAACGTAAGATTGGGTGTTGATCACACAGGACAGAAGAGGAAGTAACAGCAAGGGGGGGAAAAACGCTAACTATTGTTGATATTGTTGGCGGACTTACCTGTTGTCTTGGTTGTTGTTGTGTGCCTGTGTACCTACTTGTGTTTGTTGATGATCATGCTGGCCTGGAGTCGCGGTACCTGAGACAAAGTAGGATGTCATCACATTGAAAATAGAACAGCAAATAGAATTAGTATATTTTATGTTCCTTATTAAACTTTCTGTTCAGACAGTGTGTTGGGTCAGGTGATCGTAAAATTATTGTTGTCTCTCTTTTGCGGTAGAACAGTGTGCTGATTTAGGAGACCGTAAAATTATTGTCTGTGTTGCGGTAGGACAATCTGGCCGACAAATTTTCTTGTTTCTGGAGATTTAGGAGATTTGTGACTACCTTTTTGTTTCCTATTCCAATCACACTTTCCGTTGGGGAAGGTTTGTCTGCACTCAGGACTAGGGGACAGGCTGATAGAAAGAAAGAAGAACTGTTGGCCTTGTGGAATCAGTTTTTGACGGAAGTGCAGTTGTCTGGACCGGATGCCGAGCAACACATCCGTGATAACTTTGATCTTCAAGGGGTTGAAGACCGTCTGAAAAAGTCTATCACGGCTGTGGAGGTTGTGGCAGCCGGTACCGAAGCTTCCAAACTGATTGCTCAGGGGCGACAGACACTAGACCAGTTTGCTTTGAAGCAACTGGAAGAGATCATGGAATCTACTCGGAAAGGGGAAGCAAAGCCAGAAGTTAGTGAAGCAATGATTGATGCTAATATCCAACAGCTAAGAGATACCTTGGCTGCAGAAGAAAGAAAGAAAGAAGAATTAGCCCGAGGAAAAGAACAGGAACTGAGAAGAGGACAAAAAGTTAGAGAGATTAGACAAGTCATTGGAACAGAAGTAGGAGAACAGACTGACATATCACAAATGTTGTCTCACATTGTGACATACCTTACCTTTCTTGAAGAGAAAATTGACAGACAACAAAATCAACTAGATGAGATTACTGTCGGATTGCGGACAATCGCAAACATTGTGAAAGGTAAGAATCAGATACAGGGTGGTGAAGAACAAGAAAAGAAAGAAGAAAAGAAAGAAGTGAAGAAGTTGATGGGAGATGCAATAAAGACTGCTCGTTCCGAGATTCAGACAACGCCCAATGGAAATGGACCCCCGACTCCGCCATCTTCTCCATCGCACTCTTCTCATTCTACTCCTTCTTTCAAGTTTTCTCCTAAGTCCACTCCGGAAAAGACAAGTGTTGAACCGAAAAAGCCGAAGAAGAAAGAAAAAGTGAAAATGAAGTTGCCTTTCACGTTTTACAATAAGAAAGAAGAAAGTTTGTTGCTATGGGTTGCTGAAATCCAAACGTACGTGCGCACCGCTGCGGTCGAGCCGGAGTCCCAAGTCGCGTTCACCACTTCTTGCATGGGTGGTAAGGCCAAGCAATGGTTGTTGGCCGAGGCCAATGCCGCGGTATTCGAAGACATCGGCGAATGGGCAAAGACGCTGACGCTGAAACAGTTCTTGGCCAAAACCAAGGACCGTTTTCTCGACAAGACGACGGCAGACAAGGCCTTTGACCAACACACATCAATTGGTCAAAAGCATTGGACGTCAGTCGAGGCTTTGTCCCGCGAGGTCGATCGATTGTTGCAGGTTCCAGAGTTAAACCTGCAAGACAGCCAAGTGTTGTACGTTTATTCCTGCGCGTTGCCTGAGCCCATCCGGGGACACTTGGTCACCGAAGCAAAGTCCGGTAAGTACAACTATAGGCAATTTCGCGCCCTTGCTCTGCAAAAGGAACAGATAACTTCTCAAGTCAAGAGTTCCTATGCAACAGTAGTTAAGTCTGAAGGAGGAGGAGGAGGGAGACCGAACAATGGAAAACAAATCCTTTGGCGACAGAAGCGCCATGACCACACCCTTGTCGTCTTTGACGACGACACAGTGGAAAAGTGGCCGACAGAAGAGACCGATAACAACAGTCACTCTGGGAATGGGGAAGTCACTGTTGTTGTGGCCAATAAGGGAGGGCCACCTAGAACCGGGACAGGGAAGAAACAAAGAGCGTTTTCATGGCACCCTGGCATTGCCGACGGAAAGCCATGGTTCGAAATGGGGATGCCTCGTAAGACTTGGCAGGAGTGCATGGACAATGCGCAATGTCTTAAGTGCGGCACAGCAGGACATGTGATCGCCTACTGCCCTATGATTCGGAACCCAAAAGCGAACAGTCAGTAGGAGTAGCATCTGCTCCTACAGAGATTGAGAGTAAGAATGAACAGACAGGTAAGGCGCCTACGATCCCTTCCTACCCTTCTTCTCATATGGCAGAGGATGATTCTTCCTTAGCCCATCATCCAGATCGCCCTGACATTGTCTTATGTTTTGTCTCTCGAGATGACTCCCTTGATGAGCTAGGTAATGAATTGCTAGCCTTACGTGGCTCATGGGCTCGAAAAGCAAAGACTAAGGGCTAATTGTTATTAGTAGATGTTGAGATTGCATGAACGCGAGTAGGTGCATTGTTAGACCCAGGATCAACAAGGTCCTACATCTCCGAGAAGGCAATCCGCAAGTTGCATTTCGGTATAGGTAAAAGACTTGTCTCGACCTATAACGTCTCTGTTAGCCGACAAGAGTACGATCACTGTCTCTCAGTGTGTTGATCGTATTAAGTGTCAGTTTCGAACGAGGGAAGGAAAGAAGATTATGCATGATTTATCCTTCCTCATAGAAAAAAACCTACCTTTTGATATCATTCTGGGTATGGACTGACACGAGGAAGCCAACTCGGACATCGATTTCAAAAACAAGATTGTGCAACTCAAAGATGCGCAATCTGAAATGAAACCAATTAAGTTATATCATAAGTCTGACTCTGACTCTAGTCTATCTTTTTGTTGTATGAGTTATCCAGTTTTTCGTTCAATGGTTTCTAAGAAAAAGTTGGAACAGGAAGTTATGTTGGTATTGGTAAAGAAAACCGGTGAGTCTTCTTCTTCCTGTCCTCCGACGATTGAAAGTCTTCTCTCTGAATATAAGGATCTGCAGAAGGAACCTACCGGAATTACTGAACGTGCTATAAAGCACACCATTGAGATTATCCCGGGTAGTAAAA